TGATAGTAATTATTGATAAAATGCTTAATTAAAAGAAACTTGTTGAATAATTTATATCGATTAAGAACATTATTTTTTCCGAAAAAGTATAATCGATCATAACCTATTTTAATTGATGAGAGATAATTCAGAAAAACCAATTAGTTCAATTATAGTCAATTTTTATTGATTATAATATCCTAACTTAACAAAAAATTATCACAAAAAATTATATATTGTTTTCTACCCTAAGAAGGAATTTTTTATGTCAATAACAAACCACCAAAAACTAAAAATCTTTTCACACTGTGGTTCATCTGAACATAAAGTCTTCCTACAAAACAAAAGTATCATACAGATCCCTTCAGTTAAGTTGAAAAACTCCCGCTGATGGTGAAAAGTAGTTCTTCCAAATCAATCATGAAACTAAAACCTTGTTCTAATATTTGGTATATAAAGACTACAAATGCTCATCATGAAACAATTCTACACGAGAAGAAGCAGAAAAGTATAAAAATCAATGTTATTGAAATGAAAACTAATAGAAAGGTTGTCTCAATTTATTTTTATACCAATATTTACGAAAAGCATAAGTTAAAAGCATTTCTGATGCAAGGCCGAAGACGAAAAGGGGCAAAGAAAAGAGATTATAGTCGATTATCTAGTTTCGTGCATAACTAATATAATATACTAGAAACTGAAATAAAGAAATCGAATATAATGGACCAAAACTGATTACAACGAAATCGGAAAATAGATAGATTGCTAATCGATCAAAATTGGAAAAAATGTCTCCAATTGATTAAATATTGCTTTCAAGAGAAAAAATTTTAATCTATCGTTAATTGATTATAATTGATATTTTCTTAGTGTTAATAAGACTGGCACTAACTCTATATTATAAGTGAGTATCAACGCTTGAAACTGGATGCAAGTATGTTGAAGCAAGGATAGCTCATTGTTCTTGTGCAAGTAGCGCAGAAGATTTCTACCAAAACGAATTTTTATATCGAATTTAAAAAAAATGAAGAAGAAAATCGGATAGTTTGATCAAAAAAATTAAGTTAAGTTTCGAAATTTTTTTGAATAATAGGCTTTATCAGGCTTGACCATAGGTAATACTTACCAGGCTTGTCCTTTTGTCCATAGGTATTATTTACCACATTCTGAACTGATAAGATGCGTTTTTTGCCGCTCACGGCGTGTTTTTGAGTTTAGAAATTTCGTGTGGTACAAATGTGTCTTCCGAAATTGGTCAGACTGCTGTAGACTTGAAACTAGAGATCAAGTAAGAGATTGTCCTCGCGCCATATCATTGCAGTGGCAGGGGATCGAACACTCGATCTGACGTTCTCAGGTGAGGCCTTACTTGTGATAATTAACTCATGGATGATCTATTTTTACTATGCCATTAGTCTTCTAAATTTATTTTTTTAAATTAAATAAGAATCAACGTATACCAAAAAATTGAATGGCTTAAGTCTGGTTAATACAATTTTTTTCAGTGGACGCGCCAATTTCTCGAACCAGACTTGTCTTAATCGTTTCAATATTGCTCCTATTGCAACAGTTTAACTCGTTAACTCGGTAGCGAAAGTGATAATATGCAGAGATCTGCATTTGCCGAAATTGGATCGCGAGAGCAGCTAAACTTGTTGGTATGAAAAAATTATGTTAAAATAAAGTTTATTATGTGTGTCACTTTACGAGATTGGCCAAAAGTTGAAAGTTTATAAAAAAATAAATGGATGGTACAGTAAAATAAAACAAGAAGCATCAGTGTGTGTTTTAGTGATGAGAGGTTATGTTGCAGTTATGTTGAGTGTACAATTGTAGAGAAGCTGAATAATAAGAAGCATGGCATAGGGTAAGAAAGAAGCAGCACCTTGTTGAGGTTTGAGTAGCACTGAGTGGGTAAAGAGCACTTGATTGATGATGAGTCATAGCTTAGATTTGTGATTGGTTGATTTGATTGAGTGGTTGAACAGTTTAAGGCACCATTGGGTCACAGAGCAGGTAGAAAAATAAAATTAGCAACATGCAGAAAAAAATACAGAGTCGTTACATACAGCAGTCATGCAGAAAAAAAACACACCATTCTTTTTTTAATGCAAGTTCATGCAACCCCCAGTTGTAACCATGGTGCCCATGGAGCATCTTTTGAACTATGTGTTTATAAGAAGTTATATAATCATTTCAGTATGAAATTGAAACTTGCATGAATTCAATTTCATACTGAAATGATTATATAACTTCTTATAAACACATAGTTCAAAAGATGCTCCATGGGCACCATGGTTACAATTGGGGGTTCCAAAGTTTTTGACACATGCGAATAAAATACAAAACAAGATGAAAGAAAGTACAAAAGGTTTTCGAATACACATCTAATGGTCCACAATCACCATAATCAATATCGAAAAAAAATCGAAAAGGCACAGAATAAAGCTAGTTTAAATAAAGCATTGGTTAAATTAGATTATTTGGTTTTATTGAAGTTTTGAATTTGAAGTTTTCTTTACAGTTTGTGGCCTTTTTACCACATTCTGAACTGATAAGATGCGTTTTTTGCCGCTCACGGCGTGTTTTTGAGTTTAGAATTTTCGTGTGTTACAAATGTGTCTTCCGAAATTGGTCAGACTGCTGTAGACTTGAAACTAGAGATCAAGTAAGAGATTGTCCTCGCGCCATATCATTGCAGTGGCAGGGGATCGAACACTCGATCTGACGTTCTCAGGTGAGGCCTTACTTGTGATAATTAACTCATGGATGATCTATTTTTACTATGCCATTAGTCTTCTAAATTTATTTTTTTAAATTAAATAAGAATCAACGTATACCAAAAAATTGAATGGCTTAAGTCTGGTTAATACAATTTTTTTCAGTGGACGCGCCAATTTCTCGAACCAGACTTGTCTTAATCGTTTCAATATTGCTCCTATTGCAACAGTTTAACTCGTTAACTCGGTAGCGAAAGTGATAATATGCAGAGATCTGCATTTGCCGAAATTGGATCGCGAGAGCAGCTAAACTTGTTGGTATGAAAAAATTATGTTAAAATAAAGTTTATTATGTGTGTCACTTTACGAGATTGGCCAAAAGTTGAAAGTTTATAAAAAAATAAATGGATGGTACAGTAAAATAAAACAAGAAGCATCAGTGTGTGTTTTAGTGATGAGAGGTTATGTTGCAGTTATGTTGAGTGTACAATTGTAGAGAAGCTGAATAATAAGAAGCATGGCATAGGGTAAGAAAGAAGCAGCACCTTGTTGAGGTTTGAGTAGCACTGAGTGGGTAAAGAGCACTTGATTGATGATGAGTCATAGCTTAGATTTGTGATTGGTTGATTTGATTGAGTGGTTGAACAGTTTAAGGCACCATTGGGTCACAGAGCAGGTAGAAAAATAAAATTAGCAACATGCAGAAAAAAATACAGAGTCGTTACATACAGCAGTCATGCAGAAAAAAAACACACCATTCTTTTTTTAATGCAAGTTCATGCAACCCCCAGTTGTAACCATGGTGCCCATGGAGCATCTTTTGAACTATGTGTTTATAAGAAGTTATATAATCATTTCAGTATGAAATTGAAACTTGCATGAATTCAATTTCATACTGAAATGATTATATAACTTCTTATAAACACATAGTTCAAAAGATGCTCCATGGGCACCATGGTTACAATTGGGGGTTCCAAAGTTTTTGACACATGCGAATAAAATACAAAACAAGATGAAAGAAAGTACAAAAGGTTTTCGAATACACATCTAATGGTCCACAATCACCATAATCAATATCGAAAAAAAATCGAAAAGGCACAGAATAAAGCTAGTTTAAATAAAGCATTGGTTAAATTAGATTATTTGGTTTTATTGAAGTTTTGAATTTGAAGTTTTCTTTACAGTTTGTGGCCTTTTTACCACATTCTGAACTGATAAGATGCGTTTTTTGCCGCTCACGGCGTGTTTTTGAGTTTAGAATTTTCGTGTGTTACAAATGTGTCTTCCGAAATTGGTCAGACTGCTGTAGACTTGAAACTAGAGATCAAGTAAGAGATTGTCCTCGCGCCATATCATTGCAGTGGCAGGGGATCGAACACTCGATCTGACGTTCTCAGGTGAGGCCTTACTTGTGATAATTAACTCATGGATGATCTATTCTTACTATGCCATTAGTCTTCTAAATTTATTTTTTTAAATTAAATAAGAATCAACGTATACCAAAAAATTGAATGGCTTAAGTCTGGTTAATACAATTTTTTTCAGTGGACGCGCCAATTTCTCGAACCAGACTTGTCTTAATCGTTTCAATATTGCTCCTATTGCAACAGTTTAACTCGTTAACTCGGTAGCGAAAGTGATAATATGCAGAGATCTGCATTTGCCGAAATTGGATCGCGAGAGCAGCTAAACTTGTTGGTATGAAAAAATTATGTTAAAATAAAGTTTATTATGTGTGTCACTTTACGAGATTGGCCAAAAGTTGAAAGTTTATAAAAAAATAAATGGATGGTACAGTAAAATAAAACAAGAAGCATCAGTGTGTGTTTTAGTGATGAGAGGTTATGTTGCAGTTATGTTGAGTGTACAATTGTAGAGAAGCTGAATAATAAGAAGCATGGCATAGGGTAAGAAAGAAGCAGCACCTTGTTGAGGTTTGAGTAGCACTGAGTGGGTAAAGAGCACTTGATTGATGATGAGTCATAGCTTAGATTTGTGATTGGTTGATTTGATTGAGTGGTTGAACAGTTTAAGGCACCATTGGGTCACAGAGCAGGTAGAAAAATAAAGTTAGCAACATGCAGAAAAAAATACAGAGTCGTTACATACAGCAGTCATGCAGAAAAAAAACACACCATTCTTTTTTTAATGCAAGTTCATGCAACCCCCAGTTGTAACCATGGTGCCCATGGAGCATCTTTTGAACTATGTGTTTATAAGAAGTTATATAATCATTTCAGTATGAAATTGAAACTTGCATGAATTCAATTTCATACTGAAATGATTATATAACTTCTTATAAACACATAGTTCAAAAGATGCTCCATGGGCACCATGGTTACAATTGGGGGTTCCAAAGTTTTTGACACATGCGAATAAAATACAAAACAAGATGAAAGAAAGTACAAAAGGTTTTCGAATACACATCTAATGGTCCACAATCACCATAATCAATATCGAAAAAAAATCGAAAAGGCACAGAATAAAGCTAGTTTAAATAAAGCATTGGTTAAATTAGATTATTTGGTTTTATTGAAGTTTTGAATTTGAAGTTTTCTTTACAGTTTGTGGCCTTTTTACCAAGGTCTCCAGCAATTTCCATCGACATTCTTGGTGGCATCGTTTTCAATGTCTTCTGAATTGACTCCTGTGGGCACGAACATGGGTTCGAACCCCGCCACCTCCTCGTCATCTTCTTCCTCGTTGCTTTCTTCCCCTCCGAAACTCGGACTGTCGACTAAACTTGACCTGACCAGAACTCGCTTCGGCTTGTTGCCTTTTCGAGTTGGTGGTGATGGCGTCGAACAAATTGCAAACATCGGCTGTCCGGATGAAGTTGTAGTTCCGAGTCTTTTCACCGAAGTTGTCGTCGATTGCTTCGGAGTTGGGGGAGTCGCGACTGTTCCAAGCAGTACAGGACATGAGTCTTTGAAGCTCGAGGAGCTTGCCGAACTTGCGGAAACCGGACTCCCGTTGTAAGGTGACTCGGGTTTTGAGAATTGCGGTTGTCGGAATAAATGCGACTGTGGTCGCAGAAACTGCTGTGGTGTAGTTGGGTAGTTGATGTTGGTCTTTACAGAAACTGGAGTCGCCGGCGACATCTGGACTCGAGGGGGCGTTTTGAGTTGGGATCCCGAGTTTCTCTGCTGGAACAGGGGTGATGCCTGGTTATACATCTGGCCCATAGGAGCAAACGGACTTCGTTTAATTTCGCTCGGTGGTTGCGAGTAATTATGACGATTCTGATTGATTCCGAAATTTCCCATAATATCGGGTTCGTTGTCTTTTTTGGTTGCCGATTCCAGGGTCCGGTTACAAGTCTGAAGATGGTTGCAAAGCTTCATTTTAACGGACGGATCCAAATCGCTAACATTAAGGAAACTTAGAACTTCTTGAGTGCATTGGGCAAAACCAGCTGCGTATCTGGTGACAGAGCTTTTCAATTGCTGCTCCGATTGTTCCGATTTTGAGGAACAACTGGACTTCGATGCTGTTTTTGGGGTATTTATATTTTCGAGTTCTCTGATTCTGGTGACTGCCAGTTCCAAAACGTCTGCTTTTTCCAACCTAGCCTGAGCTAAGCTTTTATTCGGTTTGTCCTGCAGTAACAGCGATTTCAATTCGTTCACGCTTGAGTTAATGCGTTCACGTCGCTGCTTCTCAACTAACTGTTTCGAAGTTCGTTTGGTCACGCCACCCGATGCATGAGAACAAGGTCTGGAGTCGCTTTCGGTCGAGTTCGTGTTGGACCCGAGCCACTGAAGGTTCTCGTTAGGCGACAACGAAGAACGATTCGAGTGAAGTTCACTTGGACTTATTTCGGATTTTATCGACGCACCCAACTGGGTTGCTGAGATTTGTGCTACAAGATCCGAGCTATAATAGCCCGAAGATGCTTCGTGAATTGACACAGGAGCGTGTACTGGTTTGAAGGTCATTTGACCCGCGTTAATCTGTTCACGCGCTGGTGCATTTGTGACATAATAAGAAAACGGGTCCGCACAGTGGAAAACTCCAGGAAAAGGATGATTTGGTTGGTGGATGGGACGTGGAGGGAGAGGTTGGGGCACGTGGCCTCCGTTTGCGTAATGTGGGTGCAGAGTATGAGGGGGGAAGGTTTGTTGAGACATTGGTGTCATAGATGGCGGGTAAATAATACTGTGGAATCGGTTTGACGAATTCCGACTTTGAAAGGGGGGTTCATTCGAAGAAGGTTCGATGTTTTCCTTGTCCATTTTCCACGAAAAAAAGTTCAAAAAAGAGTTAAGAGTATTTAAGAAAAAATGTTTTCTTGGTTTCTACAAGGAACGTTACAAAACTGGAACTCGATTCAAAATCAAAATGATGCACGAAATTTAAAAAAATAGAGACAAAAACGGATAAACTGACTACACGACTGACTCACACAGCAGGAAAATGCAAATTGGCCGAATGTTATTATCAATCAATTCAAAATTCGAAATTGCCATTATTCGAATAAAGAAGCATGCGGTGATGACCGGTTTAATCTCCTCGGCCAATGGGGGAGCGTTGTGAGTCCTTTTGTTCTTACGGGGACAGTAGAGCATCCGTAGTTTACTTAGCGGCCTCCTCGAGATATCGAAGCGAGCATACGCTCTCTCTATTCTCTATTGTAGTCTAACAATTAGAGAAGCACGCGCACAAATACCCGCCGCTCTGATTTTGAGTGTAATAAACAGTTGAAATAGAGCCAAACTCAGATACTTCTAGAATTTGTTGATTTTTTGCAACTTTTACAAAAAGTGCGCACTGTGAGTTGATTTCACAACAGCACCACATGTCATTGAATAACCTCGAAGGAATTGAAATCGCAAAGTCAGAAATATTTCAAGGGAGTCCAATTCGAAAACACATGTTTTAAGTGATTCGCAAAGACCATAGCAATAACTCTGTAGGAAGTCTTGTTTTCTGATTCTTCAGACTGTGATTTTCGACAATATGCAATAGCTTTTGGGAGAAATTACGCAGTTTTTAACACCCCCCCCCCCCCCCCCCCCAAATAGACCAAGTTAAGATCCTCCACCCCAGCGCTTAATATAAGTTAAATTTGTTAAGCGCTGCATGTAAAATAGTCGATTCTGATTGGCTAAAAATTCCTAACTTAGAACCAAGTTAACATCCTCCCCCTAAACGTGTTTAGGGGGGAGGATGTTAACTTGGTCCCAAAAACCTGTTTGTTGTGTATGATAGGCTAGTTTCTGGGACTAACTCTGGGACAAAACTAGGAAATAGAGTGATAGGTACAAACAGGGACACATCTAGAAATTTCACGAGGAAAAAATGACGTTTCAGAGAACTTATTGGAAAGTTTTGGCGCGCACGGTCCTCATTCTTCAAAGGTTGACAAAATTTTAGGTTTGGTTGACAAAACATGGATGTCGTGAAAACGTTTTAAAAATTGCATCTCTTGGATGGCGAGGGAGTAGAATCCCTGAGCCCCCCTTCCCTTGGTACCTCGGGAAGAATTGCCAACTGCCACCCCTATAAAAGTTTTGTGGTATCATACATATGAACACTGCTTCACAGGTATAGACGTATAGTGGATTGAGGACACCCCCCTGCTGTAAACAAGAAGTTAATTAATTGTGGATTCTGCGATTGCAGAGGATCTATGGAATCTAGCCAGTCTGCCGGGTCTCTTATTTCCAGACTAAGTTATTTGGTTAAGCCGGCTCCTTTTATTGCATCTCATGGTCGTTTTATTTTGCGTCAAGAACTTTAACGTTGTACCACTATTGCAGCCGAAATCGGTCAGACTGTGGTGGATCTGAAACTAGAGGTCAAATGAGAGCTCGTCTTCACACGCTATCATTGTCATGTCAGGGGATTGAATATACGATCTGACGATCGCAAAGTGAACACTTTATCACTGCTTAATCTCTCTAGAAAGGTAGGTCAGGTGAGAGACGACACAGCAGCTGCAGCTCCAATCCTTGCAAAAAACATTGAAAAACAGTGTCCTTCATTAGTATTCCAATAGAATTCGTTGCAACAATTACTCGGACTTGAAGCCCAAAAATATGAATGTGTTGTCAACAATTTTCTTTAGCGTACGAAAAAGGGCTCAAAATAATTGGACAGTTTCCCATGTGTAACGATGTCTGTTCACTTCTGGTATGAAAATTTTGCTCATATTCACAAGTTTAATTGCAGTTCAAAATACTTGGATATTTATTTAACATTTTAAAGGCGTCTCAAATGTTTGACTGTTTGTCGTTGCTAATACCAACAAAATATGCGTCAATGTTTTGCAAATAGCTGCTTTGATTCGGCTTTATCTTAAACAGACACACATGGAGGGTAGATTAATACTGCAGATGGGACAGTACCTCGTGATCTCTTGGCAAACGTCGGCGGCCTTTGAGCTCTGCTCCACTTATTAGACTACTTAATCCCCCAATAAGGTCCAGGAAGGTAAGCGCGTGAACAGACCAGACCACTAACTGAGATTATCTCTTCGCTTTTCCAATTAGCGACCGATAGGCGATTGCTTTGAGTCGCTCAATCAATGCTTCATTAGATTCTGTGTTGGACTTAGGAAGCGATTAAAGAGGAATTTAGCGATGAGGAAAGCGCCCTTATTGCTATTCTTTCCTATTCCTGTGGTGCTAATTGTATAATTAGTGAAGCATAGATGATATGCAACAAATAACTGCTCACAGGTATTAAAGCTTGCTGCCCATTTAGCAGACTGTCCTAAACGAAGAACTGACTAAGATTAATAAAAAGATCATTTAAGTTCTCCACTATAACCTTTTAGAAGTCGGTTATATGCTTTTAACGGGATTATTGCTAAAAGAATAGTTGAATAATCGTGAATAATTTGAACTATAGGACCAAGTTAACATCCTCCCCCCTAAAGCCGTTTGGGGGGACTTTGTTAACTTGATCCGAACTATAAAGTGAACGGTTGCTTTCAGGAATCTTCTGGTATTTAACGAGTTTTAGCTATCTTCAGCTTCCATTCAAAAGGCTCATAAAATGCCTGCTGAACACCAATTGATATGCGAGTCGGAAGTCTTTATGCTGACTGTCTAATTCTGCTCGCAGATCATTCTTCACAGCGAATTCTTGAAGCAAAAGCTTCACCTGTCAGATAGCTTGCAGCCCTTAGAGGTTAATTAGGTTGGCTTGTTTTGTTGCCTAATTACAGTGTAGATTAGAGAACAATGGTAAGAATAGAAGACAGAGAATGAGGGAATAATTGAGGAGATAAGAAGTCTTTGATGGAATCTCTTCTAAGAGGACACACCTTGCATTAAAGTGTAAATGTGCCACTCATAACAGACTGCATTTCTGGTCTGCCAATTGAACTGTGGATCTCCTAAAAGAGTTCAAAGAGTCCACTGGAGACGAAATACTGGCACGTGCACCCATGCGACCTAAATGTCTCGTCGGCTCAATTTTGGCTTACCAATTTTTTCAAAGGGTCTCCCATTTGGTACTTTCGGTACCCTTAATATTAGCGTAATTGGCGCCCAATTGATTTTAGGGCCAGTCGGCAAAAGGTGAGCACCAAGTGGGAGACCCTTTGAAAAAATTAGCAACCAGAATGGGGCCGACGAGGCATTTTGGTTGTCGCTTGGGCACTTGTCATAGTTCCCACTTCGAGGAGTCAGAGAAGATGTTCTAAAAGGTCCTTTTATCAAAACATCAAAAAAAATTGTCCTCGACAAAACGCTCCTGACTTAACATTATGTTAATACGTAAGCTTTTGAAAAAGTCAACTTCTGGGTTTTAGCTTTTTTGGGGGAGGTTTTTGGTTTCTTGAGATTGGACATCTACTCGGAAAACTCACCGATAGTCGGCTCAGATGGTTCGATATTAGCTAATCTCGAAATTATAAAAATCACCAAAAAAGAAAGGCAAGTGTGCTGTGGGTCATTTTTTTTCTTCCAGTTCCCTGGGTTGAGGTTTCCAATTTATGTTTTGAACGAGGCGGAACGATTTCATGCCACTAATTGTTCGCCCTATAATCCGTAGTCGAGAAAGCTCTGTAGACGAACTAAAAGTCGAAATATGAAGTGGAGTCGGTCGACAAATAAAATCAAATACAAAGTCGAAAGTTACCGTCGAGTTAATTGAATTAACGTCGAGCTCAATTTCGAAACAAAAATTATGGAAAGCTTACACTTTTTCAATGATTTTGTATAAAATTTGAGCAAAAAATTTTTGAATCATTGAAAAATTTTAATTTCAGAAAACTGCGTTTAGCAACATTCACTCGAGAAGAATTGTTTAGAGCAAACCATGAGTTTCAAGGGACTCCCTTCAAAAATTTGAGATGCAAGGTCTCCCTCGGCAGTTTTTCACGAATACTTTTTAAAAGCATTTTTTTCTGCTTTTCAAATTTGAGGCAAGTTTGTTTCATTCAGAAGTACTTCTTGGTCGAACTTGATCGAAACTTTTTTCCTCGGTCGAGCACGATTGAAAAATTATTTTGGTCGATTTTCGCCGGAAAACTCTACCTCTGTTCAAATTTGTTTTGTTCAAAAATATTTTCTTGGTCATTTTTTTTTCTTAGTCGATTTTTTTCTTCGGTCGAAAACACTCCTCGGTCGAACTTAGTCGATTTTTTTTCCTCTTTGGTCAGACTTCGCCCGAGGTCTAACATATTTGCAATTTATCAAGCTGGAAACGAGATGGTCGAAACATATCGAGTGTGGGCTAAGGTTTTCGAAATATTCCAACTTTTCGACCGAGTCGTCCGAAACATACACCGCAAGCAAACATCGACTCGGGTTGTAAGAAACAGATGATTGGAAAAACAAAAAACAAGAACTCAAAATATTTATGTTAAGGAATTTACAAAGCAGACGAAATTTCGGTTCAACTATATTCGATCCTCCATTGTGTAATCTTAGCTGTCTACTCAATTAAAAGTTTTTTATGAAACATTTAATTATAGTTCATAACAAAATTTAGAGATTGAAGCTAAAATTGAACACATTAACAAAAATAGCCGGCTGCTGTGCAAACAGCACAGAATATTCCGACCTGATTGAAACAAAGTTTCAATGATATAAAAAAATTTTAAATCGAAATACATATTTTCAAGTTTTTTATCTGAAAGTTTGTGCTATTTTTATCGAGAAAAAGCTATTGGAACATTTTTACAAAAAACACGATTTCCTTATTAGTAACTATTAAAGCTTTTAGTATAAACAAATTTGGCGGTCAGTCTCTAATTTTTTGTCCAATTATTTGTTGAATTTGGTCTAAAAACCAAAATTTCAGCGATATTTTTCCTCGACATTGCGACAACTTTTTTTCGAGTCGCAATAACGACCATTAGGGCATTAATACAATACCAACCTTGACCTATGAGATTTAATTGGGGTAGTCAAAATTGGCTGGAAAATTACCAAAAAACTGCATTAATCTATAGGTCCTTTCCAGTCTTGGAGAGTGTTCGGAACAACAAGCAAGCCAATTGAAAAGCCAGAAAAGAATTTATTTTCAAATACCTTTCATTGCTTTAATTTAGATTGAATTTGAACAATTTTTGGCAGTTATATTTCAAATGGAAGCGTGAAGATAACTTAACTTGGTCCAGCTCAGCAGCGAGCTACAAAATGATAATAAAAAAGTGCGCATGAAAGACAAAATGACCTCATTTTTTGGCCTAAACCCATACCAATTTTCCTGATTTTCTGCTAGTTTTGCCCAGTTAATTTATTAACTCCTAAGATGACAATTCATATTCAGTTTGTGCACGCCTGCGAGTGTTGAAGTAGCAGTGGGAGACATGTTTAGCAGCAATAGTGCTTTAGATGGGCTTCTTCTGGAAGTCCTCGTTGTGTTGCTTCTGGGAGGGGCAGGTGGGGTCGGGACAGAACTTGGTGAACACTTGGTGGCCATCACATGTCTGCTGCACAAACTCATACCCCAGCCCGGCCAAGTTCAGCACTGGACAACATGCCGCCTGTTTGTAATTATAGGACATCTTGTACTCCGTGTCCCCTTTGAAGTCACACACCTGGTCACAAAAGACACAAATTCTATTTTAATTTATACCATGTAATAGTCATAAAATAATTTGGATCATAAAAATGAATTTAAATAAAATCAGGCTTTTCTTAAGGGGAGGGGGAGGAGGGACCGGACACCCTAAACAAAAAATTCGACCCTCTGACCAGCCAAAGGGGCCCTTGTCATAATTTTTCATTTTGGTCAACCTGCCAAAAAAGTGTCTAAGAGTCCTTTTTGGCCTGTTTTTTTTCGAAAAATTGACGGTGCCGCACTAAATTTGGTCAAAATAGGGTCTTTATAATGTTTTGGAAGAGTTTGGTCAGTCAATTTTCAATTTGGTCGACCAAAAAAAGTCTTTTAGAGTTTTTAGAAAAGATTTGATATTTTGATTTTCTGAAAATGGGGTTGTAATAAATGTTTTTTCGAATGTGTGATCAAAGAGTGATTGAATGGGAAAAATCTTGTTCTTGCCTCATTGCGACACACTTGTGGTTTGCATGAGATGGGTTTGCATATCTGGTGTGCAATGTAGTTGGTGTTGTAGGCAGTCGTCTTCTCAAACGGCGCTTCCGAGGGCTTGTAGTCAGGCTACAACACATCAACACCAGATAACAAAAATTAAAAACCAACAACAAGGTGTTTTCTCCCTAGTTGAAGTTTTCTGCCCGCATACAAAAAAAACTTACATGTCAAATCACAAAGTGAGAAGCTTGGCACAAAACCAAAGTGTTTTTTTTTTTGATAGAGATCGTCCTTGATTTTTTCGTTTTCGGATAGAACACAAAATTTTATTAAAAGTGGAGCCTAAAAACTTTTTTTTATTGCAGAATGCGCATACAATTCCCTGTTAAGCAAAAATGCGTATTATACTATTCCGAAGAATGGAAAAACGCTTTTCATTCAACTCCAAATTTGTATAAATTAAATATTAAACAATTCGATTTCCATATCAACTTTTTCCTCTATGTATTTTTAGGGAACTTTTTCACCAACTTTTTTTCTTGGTATCGAATTGTATGAAAAAAATTTTTGTTGAAGATTTTTCGAAATCTTTTTAAACTTTTTCTCGTTTTTCTAGTAACTTTTCTGAACAATTCGATTTCCATATCAACTTTTTCCTCTATGTATTTTTAGGGAACTTTTTCACCAACTTTTTTTCTTGGTATCGAATTGTATGAAAAAAATTTTTGTTGAAGATTTATCGAAATCTTTTAAAACTTTTTCTCGTTTTTCTAGTAACTTTTCTGAACAATTCGATTTCCATATCAACTTTTTCCTCTATGTATTTTTAGGGAACTTTTTCACCAACTTTTTTTCTTGGTATCGAATTGTATGAAAAAAATTTTTGTTGAAGATTTTTCGAAATCTTTTAAAACTTTTTCTCGTTTTTCTAGTAACTTTTCTGAACAATTCGATTTCCATATCAACTTTTTCCTCTATGTATTTTTAGGGAACTTTTTCATCAACTTTTTTTCTTGGTATCGAATTGTATGAAAAAAATTTTTGTTGAAGATTTTTCGAAATCTTTTAAAACTTTTTCTCGTTTTTCTAGTAACTTTTCTGAACAATTTGATTTCCATATCAACTTTTTCCTCTATGTATTTTTAGGGAACTTTTTCACCAACTTTTTTTCTTGGTATCGAATTGTATGAAAAAAATTTTTGCTGAAGATTTTTCGAAATCTTTAAAACTTTTTCTCGTTTTTCTAGTAAATTTTCTGCAAAAATTGTTTTTCAATTTGCTTAATTTAGTATAACTGTCGAATATACTAAATCTATAGTTTTTTCGCCTCCTTCAATCACACCATGCCAAAAAAACGACAATAATTTGAAAAACGTTGTTGTATTTTTAAGACTTTGATCAGAACATTCTATCCTTAGTAACAGGCTGTCCTTATTTTTAAATGAAACTGTATCTTTTCAATTCACTCAGGAAAGTGCTGCAAAGTCCGCTGAACTTCGAATAGAGACAAAACTATCAGGTATATAAGATTAAATATTTAAAGCTCAAAACCAAAATAACCGAAACGCAAACTCACAGCATTCCCTAACAGTTCGAGCTTGTTTGTTGAGTGATTAGAAAACTTAAAGCGAACGGCATCGTGATCCTAGAGTCTGAGTGAAATTGTTAAAGTGGGACTCCGAGTCCACTGTATGAGGGTTCCAGTTTAGATTCTCGATTGTCTCTCAATATCAAAATGATTTTTTTTGTGATATTTAAAGCTGAATTTTTTTTAGCTCTGCAAGTTTTTTATGGGTTACCTGTACCTAGGTGATACAAAACTGTAACGGGTAACATAAGAAAATAATTTTGGAAGGACTTTCGTAGCTTGTGTCACGATTTTTTCGTTAAGAGTGCAGTTATTCAATTATACTGCCGCTTTCTGGTTGTCTAAGTTTTTGAAAAGTTTTAGTAAGAATGACTTGGGGCCTAGCAAGGATCCATTTGAAGCAATTAGAATCTCGTTTATGGAGCAGTCAAAAAGGTAAGTCCTACAAACACGAGTCCGTGACCCGTTGGACTTTGTTTGGCAATATCACCAATTCTTTAAAAACCTGTCAGAAAACAAAATGAGTCAGTGGTTTTGCCACCAACAATTCTAAAGTTACAATGTTCTTTTGCTTTAAGAAAGAGTTCCAATTGGCAAAACGCGTTTCTTAAGTCTAGACCACAGTACCATGTAAATTTTTGTTCGAAAGTTTGATTTGAACCGTCCTTCTTCGTTGCATTTTCGATCCCCATCTTTGGCAAATTACCGTTGCCCAGGATATTTCTCTCGAGGGAGGCCCGAGGTCATTAAAAATGGCGTCTCATCATTCGCCCATTTATTAGACTGAATTCTTATTGAAATGTTGCCGATAAAGATGATAGTTTTGTCAAAAAACAGCAATGGTAAAATTTTCAGCGAAGGTTCAATGAGCTTCCGTTCGCACTATGTAGGAATAAAATAAAGAATAAATTGAATTAAATTTGTACTTTTTTATTCGTTCAGAAAAGTGAGAATAGTGCCATGAAGTTCACTGGGCTTCGAGTAGAAGCAACACTAACAGGTATCTAACTAAATGTGAAGATCAAAACTAAAAAGACTTAAACGTAAACTAACAACAGTGTGAAAAGCACTTTTTTCAACCCGGCACAGAAAAAAAGACTATTTGAAATTGACGTTTGGCATTTATCCCGGAAAGAAGATTTTCAAAAAATGCTGATTAACTGTTGCGTTTGTCTATACTCAATTAAGTTGACAACAAAAAGCTATTTCAAGATACCTTTTTACCGAGTGGCTTCACAGATATCATAGCCGCGTCTCACGATAGTTGAAGTGTTTCCAGATATTTATGATTCGATTTTAAAACTACGCCATCAGCTGAGGCTATTTCGTGTATAATCTTGAAATAACGCCAAACGAATGGAACAAATACTAGCCTGTGGAGCGCAGCTGTTCCTCTTCTTAGCTGCCCATGCCTTGAAGTTGCTGTTGAACTCTGTGTTGGAGTCGAAGGGGATGTCGCTGAGGTTGGCACACTCTATCGGCTTCGCACTCTCCGCCCTGCAGCCCCCACTGTACTTGTAGTCCCTCCTGTTGGTTGTCAACTTCTCCAAAGCTCCCTTGTTGCACAGGTTGTCGCCTGCAACATCACTTGGGAATGACTGGGCAATCTATGTGGGTGTGCATTCGGGAAGAGGGGTGGGATCTTTGTTTTCCTTCAGGAGTTAGACGCCCATTTTGACAGACTAATGTCGAATTTTTCTGAATACGGCTTAACCACCACTTAACCTTGACATATCAAAAAAAATGTTTATTTAAAACAAAATTCGCTCATTTCACAAATCTCAAAACCTAAAATCTAAAATCATTTTTGGAAACTAAAAATCAGGCCCCTTTGGGAATAAGACGTGTAACCTGGAATGATGAGGTCTGGCCTCTTTCCATTGGGTGCCTTATAATTGTCCCTCGTTTCAGTGGTCGCATTCAGAGGGATATCGGACTGGATGCAGGTGTCCTCTGGCTTGCAACTCAGAGTCTTCGAGAGACACTTGGTGGTGTAGTCCCTCCTGCTTGTGGTGAGACTGTCGAATGGACCAGCTGGCGTGTACTCTTCAGGTGGTTTGCATGAGTCTGGTTTGTTCACTGGGTGAGCCACATAAGTCGCCTAATTTTTTCAGTTGTTTTTTTTTCCGTAAACTATACCAAATTTGTTTCCATGTATCAAAAATGTTTATTTTGCTAATTCCACACTACACCACACTGAATTTTTTTGGTAATTGATAAGGGAAACTAAAAGGACAGCATAACAGAGCACCAAAATGCTTTGGTGATAAGGGTAAAATGGAAAGAAGAAACGAGTTGTGATTTGTGTTGCCTTGTTCTCAGTCATGGGGTTGAATGTGCCGGAGTCCATGGGGATCTCATTGGGTTTGCAGCTCTGCACTCTGCACATGTCGTGTGCCTTGTAGGTGCTGTTGTTAGTAGTGTCTCCACTCATCTTCCCTTCGGGGGCACTGTACACCTCATCCTACACACACACACACACAAACATACACAAGATATGCCTTTATGAGATCATTTCTCTACCCTCTCAAAGTGTCAATAAATAAGGTCTTTCCTGTTATAATTTCCCCATTACTAAATTATAGACCCTCCAAGTTGAATGAAAACATACTATCGGACGTAAGATATATAAACTTAATGTTTAAGCTCTCCAGATTTTTTCCATCAACCCCCCCCACCCAATTCAAAATTTCTAGTTTCATTGTTGCTTCACGCAGAGGCGGATCTAGGGTTTTCTCGTTGCGGGGGGGGATATTCAAAAAAAAAACACTAAAAAGACCCTGCTTTGGCCAAGTTTTCTGCACAGCAGGCAAATTTTTTCGCTTTTTTAGGCATTCTTTGGAAGAAAACTTCGTTAAGAAAATCGCGTTTGGCTCTTTTTCCTGGTGGGGGGAAAAGGAAAAATAGCCTCGCGTTTTTTCGGCGCGCGCTCCCCCCCCTTAAAATTATTATATATAGGCGCTTAAGGCGCCTTTAGAAAATTTTTGGGCCTGTCACCAAAATGGGGCTCTTTTCCAGTCCCCCCTTTCAAAATACCGAGTTTTATGTTTGTTTTACGTGTTATTACGGCTAAATGCGTGATGTTACGCTGTAAAGTATGAAGAACAAATCTGTCCAGAATCGTCGATTTGTTCACCACGCCAAATTTCATTGCATTGTGACAACGTTAAATAGACTTTTCAAAATTGAATTTGAAAGGGGGGGGAACTGGAAAAGAGCCCAAAATGGATATCTCAGAATAGTACAAAGAGGCTCTTTTTCCTCCCCCCTCCCCCCCCCCCCCAACCTGCAAATTTTCATACATAAAATTATTGTTTACATTGTCAGAGTGTCATGAAAATTTACATGCAAACTAATTAGGCCATGACAAACATATTTGGTCTTCATAATCAACCTTGCACAACTACTCGTTAGTTCATAACAATGTTGCTCGTGTGAGGTGGGGGAAAGAAAAAAGAGCCTACAACGGGGAATCCTTAAATCCTCCCCTAGCTTCACGTGTTATTCATTATATGGTTATATGTGAAGAGTAAAACTGTTCACAATAGATAGTCGGTTAGTTTGCTCACCAGGCCAAGTTCATTGCATTATGAAAATGTTAAAAGGTCTTTCAAAATTGATTTTCAAATGTGGAGGGGAGACATGGAAAAGAGCCGAGATTTTTTCTGGATGTGGAGGAAGAGTTCACTTACTTTTTTGCAGGTGTTGCGTGGCTTCTGTGCCCATGCCTTGTAATCTGACCTCTGGGTCGTGTCGGCCGGGAATTCCTGCTCCGGCTTGCACCAGTCAATGTCCGGCTTACAAGACCTGGTCTTGCAGATCTCCTTAATTGGAAACTCCTTTCTGTACATCGTAGTCGTATCTAGATTTCCTTTATTCTTCAGAGTGTCATTATATTTGATCAAGTCTCGTCTGGCCGAGTCGTGTGCTTTGTAGTCGCATTTCGTAGTCGTGTCGGCACAGAAATCACCCGACTCGGGTACACATTGTTCGGGTTTGCACGATTTGACCTGGCACAGTTCGGGTACTCTGTATCGATTGGAGTACTCGGTCACTTTGCAGATTTCCCCCTTGGAGATTGTGAGGGAACTCCTCCCATGTACTGGACAGGTGTGTTTTCCGCAGATGCAGATTTGACAGATACATTCACAAACCATGATAGCTAATATGTATATTAACTAATTTAAGTAGCTCAAATGTATTAACCTATCTTATTATCTTATTATTCAAAACAAAATGGAATTTCTGGAAAATGGAGAATTGGCTCTTTTGCACGTGCCTTGTCAGCTTTTTATAAGTCGCTCCCCCCGATGTTTTCTGTTCCCCTCCTACAAAATTGATTGCCAGTTTTGCAGTTTAAAATTGATACAATCAGGGGCGGATCTAGGATTTTCTCGAGGGGGGAGGGCGAAGTTTCAAAAAAATTTCGAAAATTTTGACGACCTTTTTTTTCAGGTCGATCAGATTGATTTTCCGAGCTCTCTCAGAGCAGTAAAAAGACCCTGTTTTGGACAAATTTTCTGCGCCGCAGGCAATTTTCTGAAAACACAGGTCAAAAAAGCCGTCTTTGGGCACTTTTTGGAAAATTTTGACAAAAAAAACGCGTTTTTTTGGCGCGCGCTCCCCCTCAAAATTAGTATATATTGGCGCCAAAGGCGCCTTTAGAAAAATTTTAGGGTCGGTCGGCCAAAAATGGATTTCTTAAAAAGTACCAAAGGGTGGACCCTTTGGGTTCGCAGGGGTTCGAATCCCTGAGGGGGAGAAGGCGTCCGCCCCCCCGCCCCCCCCGCCCCCCCCCCCCCCAAATCCGCCCCTGGATACAATTTTTATTAGGCGATCATTTGTTTGTTCATGTTTATCCTTGTGAAGCTTTTTCGATTTTTTCCTTTCCCCGACCTGCAAAATTTTTTTAGTAAACTTAATGTTCACTTTTGTCCAATTGCAAAAATTGGAATGCAGACTGATTAATTAGTCCCTGATAAACATATTTGGTCTGCATACTCAACTTTCTAAAACCCCTCGTTATACCATAAAATTGATGCTTATGTCAGGTGAGCTTCAGGGGAAAGAGCACGGATACGCACCAAGACCATAAATTCATATTGATGAGTGACTCTTTTTCGTTGCCGTCATCAGTAAAGGAATTGTCACTCTGGTGTATCCGATGTTTATTTCTACTGTTTTAAATTTTACTAAGATGAATTTTGCTTTGTTTTCAAGTATTGATTGTGCTGTGATATTTTACTAATGTAAAAACTACAAATTCTTAATTCAAGTGATTATGTTTACAAAATATCACGGCATGGCATTGAAATAAGATAATGTTATTCGCCCTTAACTCGTTCAGAGACAAAAGAGTTCAGTGATTAACATAGAAAGTTTGAAGTCATCAGCAATCTGCAGAAGTGGACGGATCTACACGACATCCTGCCGTTATTTCTAGAAGGTAATGAAATTAACATTTATGATGAGTTGAATGAAGAGGCGAAGGGAGACTACCACAAGTTGAATTGTGCGTTGCTGAGACCATCGAAAGCTAACGAATTGTTCATCAGTCGGAAATGGTTATTAGGCGAACCGGCGGAGGTGCTCATATCGGACTTTAAACGTTTAGCAGGACTGATTGGTATAAAAACTGTGGACTGGTATTCTGTTGAACCGTTTACAGGGGATCAACATTTACGAGTTTTACCCAACGAAGTGAGCATGCAGCTTCACTCGGTTCTTGCAACAAAGTCAATTTCTCTATCTGAAATGTTCCAATTTGGCTAAAGAGGTGTCGAGAGAAGTTTAAACATCACATTTTAAGCACGATGATGGACTCGCGGGCCCGTTGGTGCCGAGCGCCAAGGCACGTCAGGCACCAAACAAAAGGCAATCGAAAGATAGGCATAAAGGTCTTCGTTTTTCTTATGGGGAAACTTTTCATTTTTCATGCGCAGGTTAACTGAAATGCTACAGCCGTGTTCATGAGGGCCATATAGCAACGAGGTGCTGGGCTGCAGCGCCACAGGCTTCGAACTAGGGAAACTTCAGTAGGGGAGCGCTGGCGCAGCAGTGACCTCTCCCTCTTTACCAAAGTTATTGGTACCATTTAAGGAATCTACCTTGCACGTAGGATTGGACACATTGTGCTCGACTAGATTAGTGGTACGCAGGATAGTGGAGAAATTTGGGTTGAAATTTCATCCCTGTAAAGGGAAACTGGTTGCTGTTGGGAAAAAACACAATTTTTTTTCAATACTTTAAATGTATAATCGTACAAAGGCAAAAAAAATCTGTTAATCTTAGCCAGTTTTTGCTAATAAAGGGCATCAATTTGCGGAGAAAGTTGAAACATCCCAAAGAGATCATCAGATCCGATTTTCTCAAAATGCTGTCTTCTGAAAACAAGCGAAAGAAAAACAAACGAAAGAACTTTTCTTAGAGCAAATTTTTTTTCCAGACAACCTTAAGTCAGCCTTAGTATGTTTTTTCATAAAATTGAACTGAGAAAGAACCAGATAACTAAGGTCGACGATGTCTCTTCTTCCAAATTTTAACAAAATTTTTGAATAATTACTTCACAAATTTAGTATTGATTTTCTAGATAAACTCGGGTTTTGCATAAAAAACCAAATATGGTTCAGATTTGAAATTTTTAACCAGTGAAGCGTTGATAAAAATCCTAGAAAACATTCAAAATGATTGAGAATTGAACCCGAGTGAAACATATGCAGTTTACATAACTCTCAAAAAAGCTTTTGATACTAATTCAGCCTGTTTTTTGTTCAAAAAAATTGAAAAATACGGACTAAGAGGTCCCACAAAAGACTTATTGACATCATAATTGATGGCAAATATATCCCAAGGAGTCAAAATAGGCTCTTTACCTTCTTCCGCAGTTCCACAGTGATCAGTCCCCGGAACACTATTGTTCATTTTAGTATTGATGAATTGATTGGTGTCTGTAAAAGAATTGCACTAATGCGAGCTATTCAAAGTTTTAATTGAGCTCTTGATTAAAAATTGGAAATTTTATATATGAAAAAAGTTCAGTTTTGAACTCAAAGATTGAGATATTACAACCAAAAAGAGTCAAAATACCAGAACAACAAAAAATTTCATTGGAAAAATCCCTCAAAGAATTGATACACTGATCAGAAAACTTTTCAATTGTATTCAATTTTTTTTTGCAGATTTTAATTATGTGCTCAACAATCTTAATACTCCTCAATTAAGAAAAATGTACCATGAATCTTGCGATTTACACATTGTAAATGATAAAGAAATGATAGACCTTTCATTCTCAAACTGGGTTGTCGGGTTAGTACTTTATTGTTGAGACTTCTTAGTTTCTATGGTTATGAAAGTGTATTGCTTAATTATGGCATCACTTGAAAAGGCTTATCGGTCCTTTTGATGTCCTTGCATAAAATAATTATGTATATTGGGAAAATCTATCGAAACACCTCTGTATGAAAACAATTTATCATGATAATTAATACTATTGAGTTGCTTCCAAAAAATTTTAACAAAATATTTTACCAGTTTTCTGAAAACTTCGCACGCAAACTTCAAGTAGCCCACAGTGGTGTTTTGGCTATACTACAAATTGTACACGGTCATTTTTGTGGCATTGCAATATCAACGTGGTTGAATAGTTTGATTTTAAAATGTAAGTGTGCCTCAAACGTATCTGATGATCGATCGATAAACCCCACAGCTGATCGAGTTTGACTCCAGAGCGTCCTGACGTGAACTAGCTCTTTGCACTCGTTCTCATTGAACGCCTTCTTATTGCCGATGCTAGATTGACGTGGTTCCATTATGGCCACCTAAAAGTGTCTGTGTGCCTGAGGGAAACTTCGGCAACTTCTTTTTTGAATGAGGCAAAAAGTTAAATTATGGCATTGGTTGGAATCTCAGGGATACCAGAAAATTGTTATTTTTAGCCACTTTTCCATAGAGCAACGGATTAGGAAAACCAACCCGGGTCGAGGTCCGCGACTCATGTTGAGACCGAAATGGGTTGCCGAAATGGACGTTCTGCGACCAAAATTCCATCATCTCGCAAGAGCCTTGAGTCGCACAAAGTCGGAACATACCTAATTTGAGTCGCGCAAAGTCGCAACATACCTAATTTGGGTCTCGCAAAGTCGCAACATATCTTTTTTGGATCCCGCAAAGTCGGGCAAATATTTCGTTCGCACAAAGTCGCAACATACCCATTTTGAGTCGCAGTGGTCGCAACACAACTAATTTGGGTTCCTTCAAAGTCGCAACATGCCCATTTTGAGTCGCAGTGGTCGCCACACACCTAATTTGGGTTCCTTCAAAGTCGCAACATATCTGTTTTGGTCGCGCAAAGTCGCGCAAATATTTCGGTCGCACAAAGTCGCAATATACCCTTTTTGAGTCGCAATGGTCGCGATATATTTTATTTGGGTCGCGCAAAGTCGCAACATACCTATTTGGGTCGCAAAGTCGCATTATACCCATTTTGAGTTGCAATACTTGCAAAATACCCGATTTGAGTCTCAATGGTCGCAACATACCCATTTTGATTCGCAATGGTCGCAACATAAGTCCGCGACCTCGACCCGGAAATCAGCATCAATTCGTGACACCCATGAAAACGATGGTCTTTTTTAAATACCCAAACTGCCTTGAAATCTTTCAAAACCCAATCAAAAGCAGCGGCGAGCAAAAAACGCAAAATCTGACCGTCACTACAAATGTATACAAATCCGGACATGAGATTTCACGCTAGCAAAATTCTTCTTGTGACGCAACTTCGTCTGGGGCTAAAAATTTGAGGCTAAACGTTTTTCACAGTAATCAAGTTGGTTTTGCCTGGAACTCTCAACTGCAAAAAACTTCTTATTGGGGGATTAATATGCATAAGATTCGGAAACAAGCGCAAAATTATCTGTCTCAAATATATTCCCTACATAAGACCCTCACTCTTAATTTGCACGGCAGAGTTAATTGAAAAAAGTAACTCGGCCGTGTGAGGAAAACGTTTTTTAAAAAGTGCAACACACTTTGTGTTTTAGGTTGGTTTCTTTTTTTTCAATGCTCAAAACAAACTTAAGAGCTAATCAAACATAACAATTGTTTACTCACGATTAATGGCGTCAGCTTTTCTAACTGATACTACCAAACAGTTTGTCCTACGCGAACTGCAAATCAATCCATGACATTTATACAGGTAAGTAGATTTAGAAAGGATTTAAACAGATTATTACGAAAAAAATAACCTAATTTTATAGATTTTGGCGAAGTATTGAAATCTTTCAAAGTCTCATGAGTATTGATTTAACATATCAACTACCTTTTTTTTCGAATCTTGAGCAAAATTATGTTCTCAAAAATAACATAATTCGAGCTTCAGAGCTCACTAGTCACTCAGAGAAAATTTCTACCATAAAACTGCTACTTATTTTCTAATATCTGCGGAAACGAAAATTAAAATTTTGCAACGTTTCTTCACATAATTTTTTCATTTATCAACGTTCTAGGTGCAATGTTGTCAGAAATTTAAATGAACTTATATTCGAAAACTAAATTTGGAGCAACTCAAATTTAGCTAATAAAAACTACATATTTGTCATACTCATAGTTTTTTTTCAGGCCAAACATCAGCACGAATTGATAAACTAAGGTTTTGATTCAATTTTCAATTTTTTTCTACTTTTTGATAGTAGAGAAAACTTGATTAGAATCTTTGAATAATCTGTTTAAAAAGTATCCAAAAAGTGAATAAGAATTGATTTTTTGTTGCCTAATCTTGTAAAAAAAAAACTATTAAAAATTAGACAAAAAATAGGTTCAAATTGACTTAAAATCGACTAAAAATTAGTTTTTAAGCTACATTTTGAATCAAACTCAACCCATTCTAAATCAATTCATATAAATTTTTTCTAACTTCATTATCTTTATCAAAAATTCGATGACTTTAAAAAATTGGCTATTATTCTAAAGTGTCGTTATTTAATTTTCATAAATCAAGCAAAATTGAGAAGAAAAAAGATTTTTTATGAACAAAAAAAACACTTAACTTTAGCACTAACTTTCTCTGAATGTTATTGATGGAGCATTGAGGTATCGAAAAATCAGCGCGTCGAATTTGACTGAATAATTACTAGGAACTAGTTTTTAATGAGAACATAAAATCAGGACTTCAACCCGAGTGAGACTTAAGCCCGAGTACTTCATTTTTCTATTTTTTTACGTTTAAGTCTTATCT